ACCAATAATAAAAAATACATTGGTATGAATTTATTTTATTGATATCAGCTCTCAGTTTGATTATTTCCTGTCATCAACTTGTCTTGAGAGTGTTTGCTTCTTTTTGTTCTAGAGCTTTCAGGTGTGCTGTTATGTGCTAATATGAGATCTCTCCAATTTCTTTTTTAAAGTACATAATGCTACAAACTTTCCTCTTAGTCACCACTTTAATTGTGTCCCTTAGATTTCAATTTCATTGAATTCTAGGAATTCTTTAATTTCTTTCTTTATTTCTGCCCATAGTCGTTCAGTGAGAGTTGTTCAGTTTCCTTGAGTTGGTAAGCTTTCTGTAATTTCTGTGGTTGAAGTCCAGCTTTAATCTGTGGTGGTTTGATAGGATACAGGGAGATTATTTTAATTTTCTTAGGTTGGTAGAGACTTGCTTTGTGACCAAGTATGTAGCCAATCTGTGAGAATGTTCCCAGAGGTACTGAGAAGAACGTATATTCTGTTGGTTTTGGGTGAAATGTTCTGTTGATATTTGTTAGGTCCATTCATAACCTCTTTTAGTTCCATTATTTTTCTGTTTAGTTTTTGTCTGGATGACTTGTCCAATGGTGAGAGTGGAGTGTTTACGTCTCCCATGATGAACATGTGAGGTTCAGTGTGTGATTTGACCTTTAGTAGTGTTTCTTTTTAAAATTTGGGTACCTTTGCATTTGGGCATAAATGTTAAGAATTAAAGCATCATCTTGGTGGATTTTTCTTTGATTAATATGAAATATCCTTCCCCATCTTTTTTGATTAATTTTTGTTAGATAATAGAATGGCTTTATCAGCTTGCTTCTTGGGTCCATTTGCTTATAAAATCTTTTCTCAAACCTTTACCTCTTGCTGTTGAGGTGTGTTTCTTGTATGCAGCAGAAAGATAGATGCTATGTTCATATCCATTCTATTAGCTTATATCTTTTTATTAGGGAGTTGAGTTCATTGATATTGAGAGATATTAGTGACCAATTACTGTTAATTCCTGATATTTTGTTGTCCTTGGTGGTGGTAGTGGTGGTAATAGTAGTGGTAGCAGTGGTGGTGGTGGTGGTGGTGGTGGTGGTGTGTGTGTGTTTCCCTTGGGTTTTCCTGGTTTGAGATTATTTATTGCCTGTTTGTGGGTGTGATTAACTTTTTTGGGTTGGAATTTTCCTTCTAGTACTTTCAGTACAGCTACATTTGTGGATACATTTATGTTTAAATTTGACTTTGTCATAGTCTATCATGTTTTTCCATCTATGGTAACTGAAAGTTTTGATACATAGTCTATGCTGGCATTCATGGTCACTTAGAATCTACAAGACATTTGTCCACGCCCTTCAGGCTTTGGAGTCTCCATTGAGAAGTTAGGTATTAATTCTAAAAGGTTTGCCTTTATATGTTACTTGACCTTTTTCCTGCAGCTTTTAATATTCTTTCTTTGTTCTGTATACTTAGTGTTTTTATTGTTTATGTGACATGAGGATTTTTTTCTGGTCCAATCTATGTGGTCTTCTGTAAGCTTCTTGTACTTCTATAGGCATGTCTTTCTTTAGGTTAGAAATCTTTTCTTCTATGATTTTGTTAAATATATTTTTCTGAGTTTTTGAGCTGGGATTATTCTCTTATTCTACTCCTGTTATTCTTAGATTTGGTCTTTTCATAGTGTCCTAGGTGTATGTTTGTCTTTTCCTCAATTTATTTAAGGAATTTTTTCATTTCCTCCTTAAGAACCACTATCATCTTCATAAAGTTGATTTTAAGGTTGTTTTCTTGTGCTTCGTCTGTATTGAAATATACAGGAGTTGCTGTAGTAGGATAGCTGGGCTTTGGTGGTGCCACATTGCCCTGGATGTTGTTGATTGTTTTCTTACTCTGGTGTCTAGGTATCTGGGTTTGGGATGACTACAGGTCTAGGTGCTGATTTCTGAGTTTGTCTTTGTTGGGTGGTGTGGTGGTTTGAACAGGCTTGGCCCCCATAGACTTGTATGTTTGAATGCTTGATCCACAGGAAGTGACATTATTAGAAGGTGTGTCCTTGTTGGAATATATGTGGCCTTGTTGGAGAAAGTGTGCCATGGTAGAGGTGAGCTTTGAGGTCTGATGCTCAGGTTCTACCCAATGCAGAAGAGACCCTTTTCCTGGCTGCCATCAGATCAAGATATAGAATTCCCAGCTCCTTTTCTGGCACCATATCTACCTAGATACTGCCATCCTTCCTACCATGATGATAATGGACTGAACCTCTGAAACTGTAATCCAGCCCCAACTAAATGTTTCTTGTAAAAGTTGTCTTGATCATGCTGTCTCTTAAAAGCAACAAAATCCTAACCAAGACAGAAGTGTATTGTGTTCCTTGGTTTCTTTTTCCTCTTTGGTCTTCTGGTCATGGTGGCCTTGATTTTGGAGGCCAGTGTAACCTCAGACCCAGTAGGGAATCTCTGGCCAGGTTGGAAGCTGGACATCTTGTGGCTACCTTGGCCTTTGGTGCAGCAAGGGGTTCCTGTTCTTCTGACTAGTGTGGTCTGCACCTGAGCATCTGAAGTCTTCCAGAGATGGGAGTTAGGGACCCAGCCATGTGGAGGGCAGTGAGATGTGGGTAATGGATCTTTGGGAACTGAATCTGGGGAATAGGTCAGTTGATCTGGCAAATGAGTCACTCATCTGTTCTTCTGACTGCTGTGATCTGCACCTGAGTAGGTGATGTCTGCAGGCCTTTTATGTATTTTTAATAACAAATTTTAATGTATTTTCAGTCTAGTGTTGCAAATGGGATATAAAGATAAAAGTAAAGCCATTTATTCTTCAAATTCAGGAAATAATTTTTTTTTCTGCCAACCTCACTCAGCTATGCTCCTTCTTTTTAGGATCTGTTAGAAGACATGCCTGCTCCCCACCTAACAGTCCACAAAACACCACAGTTTTCTCAGCCTATTCCTGAGCCCTTCAGTCCCTTAAGGTTATGCCCCTGAGTTTCTTTCCCTTTTGAGCCAATCTTCTACACTTACATTTCTCCAGTAAACACAGAAGATAGTAGTACATATGACCATCAAAACTCTGGGCAGAATCCAGTCTTTTCTTTCCAAGATCCAGTGTAAATAAATAAATAGAGGCCACACTGAAGTAAAAACTGCATATAAAACTTTCAACTTAGATCTTCCCTTGAGTTACTGAAATACAGAATAATAGTCTTACATGATGCAGCAAGCCCATCTCCTAGTCACCTCATGAATAAAAAGGGTTTAATGAAGCATGACATAATGGGCATGATAATGTCAGTGCCATCTCAAAATCAGAGCAGCTGTGACTACCTGCACTTATGAGGCCCTTCCATAACTGGGCTATTCACATTCCTTGGTAGAAGGCATTTGGGAAATGAGACCAGAGCCCTGCTTTAAGTAACAGCCACATGTTCTCTCCTGGTCCTCCAAAGTTGCATATAATCCTGTCCAGCTGCAGACAGTGTGAGGAAGTGCTAGAGTACATTTGTAGGAGGTGGAAGGCTAATTGAAGGGATATTCCTTCTATGCAACTTCAAGACGTCACCATTCACACACTGTAGGACTTTCCAGTTGATACAGCTATGTAGAGGTCACTCACATTCCTGTAGGTAACCCCTCAACCATACCCCTGTAAGTACACCCAACAATTCATTAGTTCTCCAAGCTGGACTTGAATTGAATCTTTTGGGGAGGTGGGGGAGTCTGTGTCATTGAAACACAAGTTGTTCACATCAATCCAGGAAAAAATAACCCAACAAGGTGACATGAATGAAGGTCTAAGATAGACTGTGCTGCTATGCTAGGGTTGAGTAGTTAGGTGAATAATTCTCATATTTAAATGCATAATACGCTTATTAGAATGCAACAGCAACCTAAGTATACAGACACCTGTATTCTATTTTTCACTAAGAAGTTTCCACTAAGTGTGTTTCTGTCACAGAGAGCCAAGGGCCACTCAGAAGACAATGATTCGAAATGACCATGTTAAGATCATTTTTTAGAGATTGATGCCTAGTAGGTGCTCACTACATGTACCTCTGGTTATAAGTAATCTATGACTCATCTCAGTACTTTGCCTCATCTACTTGGAGTAAGACCACATATACACGTGGCTGCTATTTGGGTGGGGCAGGATATGGGGATGGAGATGACATGTTTGTGATGAAGGCAGTGAGCACAGGTGTGGGTCAAACTCAAATTTACAGAGAGGATATGAACATGAGACACTTCTGAAACAGAAGCCAAAAGTTCAAACCTGATTGATTCCAGTGAGGTATTAGTTGAAGTACACTGTCCCAAATATTACACTTCAACTGTAGTCTATTGTAACATATGACTATACTCTAAGACACATGTTCTCTTTGATGCTCCTTACTCTCCCAGTTCCAATGATCCCGTCTCTAATGAATAACAATGAGAATTAAGTACTTTACATCCTGTAGCTTCGATCTTAGTCTTCCTGTATACACCTCTAGCTCTTTACTCTGCATCTAAGGCGGTGTTATTCTACTTTGTCAAAATGTTTGTTTAGTTCCCGAGACTTTTTCCCTGTTAGCCCTCCTGTCTTCTTGAGTATCCTGAGCTCTCTGTCTGTAGACATGGTGATCATTTCATAACATCCGCCTAATGCCACCTCCTTCATAAGCTCTTTGGAGCACCCAACCAATCTATTGCCCTCTGCTGCGTACTTGAGAGAAGTCTACATTCTCTCATGACATCAACCAACTTCCACCTTATCACACATTCTTTTTAAAAATCTCCTCTGTTAGTATCTACCCTTTATACTATCAGGAACATTGATTTGTTTTTTGTTTTTTTTTGCATTTGTCCCCACCATGAATGAAATCCATGTATAGTATGCATGTATTAAAGAAATTAACCAAGAAATATGTAGCCCTACCTGGAGGAGAGATCATAACCTAAATGTTAATCGTTGGCTGATATTTTTAACCTTAGCTACAAAAGTAAAATTCTTTATCCCTTCATTTCCAGGCATTGTTCAAATACCCCATCACTCAATGCCTTGCTGCCCCAGCCGTGTATCGAATGGTTCTTCAGCAGAAAATCTCTAAGTATGTAGCACTGGCTTGTAACTGCAATCTTTGGGTAGAATTTTAATGTTTCTGCTATGCAAAGGTTTGTTTTTCCTTTGGTTCTTTGTTGTTCTCTCTCTCTCTCTCTCTCTCTCTCTCTGTGTGTGTGTGTGTGCGTGTGTGTGTGTGCGTGTGTGTGTGTGTGTGTGTGTGTGTGTGTATGTGTGTGTGTGTGTAATTATCAGCCTAATTAGGAAATTTAATGCCTGGACCCCATTTGTATGTGGGTTTATTTGTGACATACAAACACAAAAATACAAAATTACCTAAATTTACAAATTAATGAACTATTAAGGATGCCTATGCAATCACTCAATCACTCACGTGTGTCAGAAAAATAGAATACCATCAATGCCTCAGAGACTTCTATGTGCCTCCTTGTATTCCCTAAATAAAGTGACTGTCTATTCTCAGTCCTCTATTTTCCTTGATAGCTTGGCAACTAATGGAATATTTCTAAGAAAAATGGGTCTGCTTTTCTTTCTTTCAACTTTTATATATATAATCATACATTATTCTGTGGCATCTGACTGTTTTCCAACATCAAGTTTTTGCAGTTTATTCATGTTATGTATTTTATGGTTAGTTTGTCTTCATTGCTATATAATAAGTATAACAATTTCTTTTATCATCCTACCATTAATGGAGATGTAGTTAGCTTTTGACTGGGGGATATTGGTAACCAGTACTGCACTTACATACGGTGCTTGAAACCCAAGTACAGATGTTTTCTGACATTTATTGGTAACCAGTACTGCACTTACATATGGTGCTTGAAACCCAAGTACAGATGTTTTCTGACATTTTTCTAGAGTACAAGTTCCTAGGTCATGCTACAAGCAATTTCAATATTTCCAAAGTATTAAACCAAGTATTAAACCAGACTATGCTCTCTCTGTCAAGATTGAAGGGTTTCCCTTGTTGCACATAATTTTCATATCTGCTCATGTCAGTTAAATTTTGCAACCCAACAGATGTGGAGTGTTAATTTGCTGGGGTCCAGCCCCGGCTCAGTGGGAGGAGAAGAGGGAGTCAGGAGTCTCTTTTTTCTTCTTGTTGGTTCTTCTTGAGGAAGCCATGGGGGATGGGAAGTAGAAGAGCATCCAGTGGCCAAGGGTGGAGCGGGGGAAGGGGGTGGTAAAGCTTGGTCTTATGAGATTCAGGATAAGACCTTGGGCCTTATGAGATATTTAGGGTTGCTGTTTAATAAAATCTTACTTATCTACATTACTAAAGCTTACTTACTATGCCACTATAGCTGACCTGCCCTCTGGTATCCTCTGAAGCCAGAAACTACAGTTTCTGGCACTAATACCTTAGCCCCAAAACAGCAGAGGATTAGGTAAATAGCCTTTGTACTCTCTCAACAGGAGCTGCTGGGCTCTAACTTACCTCTGCTAGTCTGAGGTCACAGGGAGAAAAAGACACTTAAAGAAGTTATCATAGAGTTTATTGCTAAGTGTAAAAAGTTTCCTATGAAAGCTATCTAAGAGAAAAAGTGGAAAGGTCCTAAGTGGGGAAAAGAAAAAACTTCTAACAAAGGAAAAATTCTAAGCAGAGGAAAAGGAAAGGAAGGGATGAACGGCTCCTAACAAACCTCTACATCTACCAGGACTACTTCTCTCTTTGTCTTTGTCTTCAGTACTTATGCATCTTTCAGAGTACATGGTCACATGTTACAAAGTTCATCACAAGTTCACACCAAAATTCAAATCATAAATTGAAATAGAAGTTTACAACACAGAATGATTACATGCATATCCATTAGGAGCAATTATCTAGCTAATCATCTATCGCCTGTCTAACTCCACAGGTTCACTGAAGGTTTAAAACTATAACTAAGAAATTAGTGAAGTTTTGTATAGATAAACCCAGGCAATGTTTTCTCTTCTGTCCTAGCACCTATAATAAATCGTGAGTTCCCTTTTAGTGACCTTTGGTTAATTGTTTTACAACCTCATTGGAATATGATCTTAGTAGGAGAGAGTTGGTTACTATCTAAGAGCAATTAACTGATGACACTCGGGAGACTGGCAGAGTTCTCATTGCAGTTTTAACTATCAGAAAGGGACCTAATAGCAGTCCCACTATAAAAGAGCTTAATAATCGTTGACATAATTTTAAGAATTCTTATAGGATAATCATTAAGTCCTAAGTCATCTATCTGTCTATATAGCATCACTACAAGACAGTACACCTTCGTGGGTCTCCAGAGATCTGCTCCAAAGGGGGTGTGCTATTGCTTAGTGATTGTTACATATGTTTAATAATAATAATAATAGCAGGAATCTTTCCTAAAATAAGTCCCTCACAGCCTTGCTTTGTCAGAGATTACATAATAATCCACGGCAAGCATTTCAGGATGATTATCTGCTAATAATTAGCTTGTCCCATTATGGCTCCTGACATTGATTCTTCTCTGTGTTTGGAGTTGATCTTTAGCTAACTTGAAATATGCTCCTTAAAGACTCTGGACATATACACATATTCTAGAAACTCTGATGTCAGTACCTCTCTAATCCTAATAGGTGGCTAGGCTCCAAATTTAGCCAGCTAAATCAAACCTCAGTCATTTCCCTCTCATTTTCTCCAAATAATACAATTTTGTAGTATCTTTTACAGTCTGGGAACATTCCATGAGGGAAGAGGGAGAGAGGTTGTATGTTCTGTGAACACTTACCTAAAGTTCTGCCCTATAATTCCTAATTCCTTCCTTCTGGATCTCTCTCTCTCTCTCTCTCTCTCTCTCTCTCTCTCTCTTTCCCTCTCCCTCCCTCTCTCCCTCTCTCTCTCTCTCTCTCTCTCTCTCTCTCTCAAATTCTGTTTTCTGTTTCTTTTTCATATTTTTCTACAACTGACCCAACCTGCCTTGATGTCCTACTCAAGTCTTTTCTAGCCCTAACTTTCAACACTCATGCAGAAATAGAAAAGGCCCTCAGTGAGCACAGCCAATCTCTCACAGAAGGCAGTATAGTGAATTCTGCTATACCCTAGCTTCCCTTGAAGTCTCTTACCTGAGTATTTATAACTTACAAAGTTGTCCCTCTTGGACACATAGGAAGATTTCCTAGGCTTCATATGAGTCTTATGAGTTCTTGTCTCCCTCTTGTTACATCAATATCCAAACAAAACCAAAACATCAGTGATATGACTCAACATCTTTTCTATCACTCACTCATCCCCTGCCTGAAACATTATCAGAGATTTACAAAGAGGAAAGGTATCTGTCTTGCTGTGACAAGCAGTAAAATGACAGAAAGTAGGTTTAAAAATGAGAAAGCAAGCAGATAAATGATCAGAATGGCAAAGCTGTAGGCTCTTGATGCTTTGTATTTCCTGCAAAGCATCCATGGTCTGACATATTTGCCTTCCGCTAAGTCTCAGGTTCCCCACCCTGGAGCACTGCACAACTGGTGGGGAGAGCCTGCTGCCTGAGGAGTATGAGCAGTGGAAGCAAAGGACAGGCCTCCTCATTCATGAGGTCTACGGACAGTCAGAAACGGTAGGTGACCAGGTCCCTTCTGCACCATTTCAGTGGGCTCAGCTACAGAGCACACCCAGTGTGTGCTGATGTCATTGTTGTGCACAGCGCCACTGAAAGCCAATGAGGGGGAGGGGCTTTGGGGTTCAAAGATAAGTAACCCCAAATTTGCAGAAAGAAAATGTATAGCTCATCAACTCACTGAGAGGCTGATGAGCTGGAAGCTGTTACGCAAAATGTAAGAAGACATTTTGACACTGTGCCTGAGACTGTTAGTTCAGGGATGTCCCATGGGGGTAGGAGGATAGAAAGGTCTCATGTGAAATACAGATACCACTGTCATCAAATCCTGCCAATTCCACCCTCACAGCCTAGAGCAGCCACATGAAGAGCTGATTGAGAACTGACTTTCAAAGTTCATGTCTGGATGCTGAGGAGAGCAAGGCAGGTTAAATTGAGATTATAGTGGTAGTAGATGAGGAAACAAAGTGTTTCTGTATCTGTCACCTATACACAAGCACACAGTCATGCACACATACATATGCATACACTTAATGATATCTCAGAGTGTCACTGAGCTAGCACATGGTCAGGATATTTACAGTATCATGCACCTTGTGAAACTCAAGGGCTCCATTAGTGGTCATCTCCCCAGACATTTGCTATTAAAGTCTAAAGACTGGATGAAGTCACGTCCTAGTATTCTTCTAGCTAATAATGTCTGCTATCTCAGGGCCTATAATACATTGAATATTTTAGATATTGGCTACATACTTGTCTGATGATTTTACCAAAACAGTCTATGTAGCACAGATCCTGCCCATGCTGGGAATAATAAGTGCCCTTTGAATAGAATTGGGTCAATGTCTTGAACCTGAATCCTACTCTCAACAATGACTCTATCAGAGGTCATGCATGTGACTCTGGCCACATGACCAACCTTGGTCTTCTTTTGTAAACAGGGGATCAGCTGTGCCACCCTCCGGGAAATGAAGATCAAGCGAGGCTCCATAGGGAAGGCCATTTTACCCTTTGACATACAGGTCTGGTCTTAGGATGCTGGTGGGGAGCACTTTATAGCTCACTGGGGTTGGAATCATGTGTGATGGCAGGTGGTAGGACCAGCCACACCATCACCCAGTCATCCTACTCCTTTCTTCCTGTTTCCCCTGGCATCTGTGGAAGCTTTGAGTGAGAGGTACTTTGGATACTAATGCAGCTCACTTGACTGAGAGATGTGTCACACACAGTGCATGAGAAAGAAAAAGAAGTAATACTCCCAGGTGACACTGTTTTCCAGTTTGGAAACATGTCAGTAACATCTACATTCCCATGAAACAAAAACCCCTGGTCTTTGGTTCTAATATTTGCTAATTTCAAAGAATTTGAGAGTTTTATTCTATTTTCTGACAGCTTCTCCATGAGTAGGTCCCATTTATCTTACTAGTGTCTTATAGTGAGCCAAGTAGTGGCACAGAGGGCTGGGTGAGTCCTACACTGTGGGATTCACAGGTTTCTTGTTCCAGATCATCGATGAAAAGGGCAACATCCTCCCACCGAACACTGAAGGATACATTGGCTTCAGGATCAAGCCCACCAGGCCTCTAGGCCTCTTTGTGGAATATGAGGTAACAGCGTCCCACCCAACCCAGCCTCAAGAATGTGTGCTGGTGGCTCTGCACCCTGAGACTTCTTGAGTCATCTTCTCTTCACTCTAGCCTAACACAGTCCATGTTAACTACACTTATCCAAGCTCTGGGCTCTGTCGCAGTCTTTCTGTTCTAGCCCACTGGGGATTTAAGAGCTAAATGGTGGGGTAGAAAGAAGATTGACCTCACGAGTCACCAGACTTGACCCCAATAAGCCCAGTTGTCCCTTCTCAAAGGGAAAACTAAAGTGTGGCACATCTTACCCATGCCAAATGATCAATGCAGGTCTAGGAGCTGCATCTTTTAAGTGTCATACCCTAGATTAGAAATTGGGGGACTGCAGAAAGCTGGATTAAACTGGGAGAAAACCTGCTGAAGTTGCTGATCAAACAAACTCTGACTATCCTGGTTAGTGGTGATCTCAAGAGGGGATTCTTGGACTTCAAGACCATGGAAGGGTGACCAGACTCTGAAACTAATCTCAGGCTCCATCTCCTTTCTCCACACAGCCCTCACATGGCTTTATGACTGTCTTCACACCACAGCCTCAGGGAGCAGATCCTGTAGGTGTTTATAAATCCCAAATAATTGCAATAGGCAGTTATGAGAACCACATGTACATTCACATCCATGATTCCCAAACTTAGGTATTCTATATTATTTATAACACGAAATGTGTGTGTGTGTGTGTGTGTGTGTGTGTGTGTGTGTGTGTTCAGTTTTCTTTTCTCCCTCTTAGAGTTTTGTTTCTGAGAATTAAGACTAAGATCCACATAGTTGTTTTGGTAACTATATTGCATAACTCAATGCTCCCTGGAGGTCAGTGTAAGAACTCCTCCAATGAGACCTGGATTTTTGTTGTTTGTTTGTTTGTTTGAAGTAAAATAGAATATAAATAAAGTTCACGCCTCCATTTTCAAATGTGCACCTCAATGGCATGCAAACAATTCAGGAAACCCTCACCATAGTCTGTCTCCAGAAAATCTATACCCTCCAACTCTGCACCTGATGAGCAGTACCATCCAGTGCTTACCCCTCACTGCAGTATCCGGCTAGCTCTCATCTGCTTTCTGACTTTGTAAACTGCCTGTTTCGGATCATATGTATCCGTGAGACCATGTGACGCAGCTTGTTTCACTTCCCTCATGTTTGGAAGCTTTTTCTGCCATAATGTATTTGAACTCTGCCTCACCCCTTCCCCTCCTTCTGAGCCTCTAACGCCTCTGTCTCTTTGTCTCTGTCTCTATCTCTCTGAGGACTTTTTTTTTCAGCTGCTGTATTTTCAGTTCCCCGTTTTCAAACTTTCTGGTGAATTTTAATTCAGTTGTTTTTCCATATTTGGCCATTACCCATCATATGTGTGCTGAGCCCACAAATATGTTCAACTATTACATGTCAAGAAAGAAACTAGAGCTTGTGGAGCAAAAGGAGTGAGTGGACTTACACAGAGTGCCTTGTGAAGGATCATCTGGTGGTGGCACTGCTCTACAGGCTGGCTGCTATGGTATCAGGATGAGGAATCATGTCTGCGATCAAGTTCATAACACATGTGCACACAGACACACACATACACACACATAAACCACAAGAAATCTGAGAGGGGTCAGAGAATGGATCAATGTTCATATCCTGATTGGAATATTGAATAATAGTTTTGAAAGACGTTACCATTGGAGGAAACTAGATAAAAGGCCTATGAGATTTCTTGGTATTGTTTTTTTATTCTAATTATTGTTCTTACTTTATATCATTTTGTATTGTTATACAAAAAAAGCTTAAGTTATGAAGCGCCTGTCTCATAGGACTCCCATGATGATCAAACTAGGTAGCGCTTAGTGAAGGGAATTCACTACTGCTGCTGTTCTTCCCAGCTGCCCTGCACTGAACACACTGAGCGTATAGCTCAGAATGGAAACATTATTCTGGCGGAGAGTTGCATAAAAGTAAGATGCTCTTTTTTAAATCTGAGTTGAATGGTCCTCACAGATGGAGCTGCAGCCCACAGTGTTTGGGCTTGTCCAGGTGCCATGTGCAGAATTCAAACTCCAACATGACCCCAAAGCTCAACTCTAAGCTCACTACTTCAACAAAGGCACTTTGTTCTCTGCAGAATAGTCCCGAGAAGACATCTGAAGTGGAGTGTGGGGATTTTTACAATACTGGGGATAGAGCGACCATTGATGAAGACGGTTACTTCTGGTTCTTGGGGAGGGGCGATGATGTCATCAATGCTTCCGGGTAGGTGTGACAGGCCCTGGGCTGGTTTTTGACAACCTCAAATGTCTCATGACACCTTGGCTACCTGATATTCTTCCATTCCTTGGTGAGGAGACGCTCAGCCTGACCCTGATCAGAGCCATACCTGGGATGTCCTGATACCTGAGTACCTGGACCATCCACCCCTGCAGCCAAAAGAGTAAAAATGAAGTTTAAGGAGGGGGAATTACATAGCTATGAGGAGGAGCTGAGATTGTAGTGTAGTGACACGGGCCTATAACCCCCAACACACAGAAGGGTGAGGTGGATTCCCAAATCCAAAGCTGCCTGGGCAATGCAGTGAGTTCAAGGCCAGCCTGGGAAACTTCCTAAAACCCTTTCTATGTCAAAATTTTAAAGGGGCTGTGAATAAGCCTTCAGTAATAAAGAACATGCCATCTATGTGTGAGGACCTAAATTCAATCCCTAGTACCTAGAAAAAAAGGATAGAAAGAAAAACAAACAGCAAACAAACAAAAAAGATAAAGTTGCACGCTGAGATGCACAGCATTTGCTAGGATTTGAGGGTCCTGACGGCCTCTGGTGCTGAGAGAAGCTCTGTTAAGAGCACCACAAGAAGCTATCACTCTGCCACCTCCCTCACCAGGAGCAAGCTACCCCCAGGAACATCTGAGCCATGTAGTTTTAATACCAAATGCCCTGGTCTTCATATTTTGAGTCCAAAATACTACTCTCAAGTCTACAACCTCACCCTTTGGTGTCAAGTACCCTTGTGACCCTCAAAGAACAAGGTGCAAGGGATGGTTCTCTGTAGCCCTGGCATACACTCAGAACTGTTGCCCCTCCAGGTACCGCATCGGGCCTGCAGAGGTGGAGAATGCCCTGCTGGAGCACCCAGCGGTGGCAGAGTCTGCGGTGGTGAACAGCCCGGACAAGGAACGAGGAGAGGTAAGGAGGGCCCAGAAGCCTGTTGTTGCATGCAGGAGCTGGAGAGACAGAGATCAGGAGACTTCCAAGGCCTTAGCATAACCTGGGGACCTAGGATGGGACTCAGACCACTGGTGTTCATGTGCACTTACGCACAGATGGTGTGGTCTGAAGAAGGTTGAGATCGAATGAGCTCCCCTGTGGCAGATCATTTCAGGAAGGTGAGCCAGGCTAACTGCACTCTCATTGGCTGCCCCACCTCTCAAAGGGCAGCCATGGGGTGGGATGGGGGACAGTTCAACCCACCAAAAGGTTTTGTTTCTTTTGGAATTTCTGCCCTGTACCAGAAATCCAAAATGAACACACTGATGCTCATTAACCAAGAGAAAGAGATTAGGAAAGAGCACTTTTAAATGTTATTTATTATCCTGTAAATTTTAAGAAACAATCAAAATCAATACTTTTTAACCTAACAGCCTGAGGCTGGAGATGTGGTACAAAAATTAGTAAGTAAATCAAAACCCAGTGCCCCAAGGACTCGTCTCACATCCTCGGTATAGCAAAGAATGGTGCAGGGAGTTTAAGTAACTTGCCTACGTCCTAGAGTGAAAGCAGGGGAAAGAAAGCAGAGCATAAAGGATTTAGATGCCTGGGGATAACTCAGTGGGTACTTTAGTTTCCTTTCTGATGCTGTGGTAAAATATCCTGACAAAAAGCAACTGAGGGGGGAGGGGGTTTATTTTGGTTCCTGGTTATAGTACATCTTTGCAGAGAAGTCACAGTAGCGTGGCACACATACACACACACACACACACAAATGTGAGTTTCAGAACATGCATTCATTGCCTCAACAATGTCTAGTGAGCACTTCTGTGTACCAGGACTCGTGTAAGTAAGGAGGCAAATGGGTGTATAGCTAGTGGTGTAAAATAAAAATCGTCACAATATTGTTAACAGTCACTGCTGTTTTAATTTATTACGTTGATTATTATTGCCCATTGAGTTCTGGACACAGAACAGTATACACAGTAAATGCATACTGATATTAATAATGGCTACGGTAGTAATAACAAATTTAAATAGGTCACATGTTTCAAACATATTGTATTTTCTTATGGACCTTTAAAAAATAACCCTGTTAGGCATTAACTTCTATTGTACCTATTTCACAAAGAAGAAAGTTAAGGGTAGGAGAGACCAGGTGTTTTTCCAATGCATGCAGTGGCAATGGGGAGGACAGGGATTTGAACCTGGTTCCTACACATAACCTCTAGTCTCAAACCTCAACTCAAGCCTACAGTGGGTCTTGTCCATTGACTTATCGAGCTGTATATGGACTGAGTTGACACCCATCTGACCTCCACTTCCATTTTGCAGGTGGTGAAGGCATTTATTGTCCTCACCCCAGAGTTCCTGTCACATGATCAAGAACAGCTTATCAAAGAGCTACAGCAGCATGTGAAGTCAGTGACAGCACCATACAAGTACCCCAGGAAGGTGAGCCAGACTAACTGCACTCTCACTGGCTGCCCCACCTCTCAGAGGACAGCCATGGGGTGGGGATGGGGGATAGTTCAACCCACCAAAAGGTTTTGTTTCTTTGGGAATCTCTACCCTGTACCAGAAATCCAAAATGAACACACTGATGCTCATTAACCAAAAGAAAAAGATTAGGAATGAGTACTTTTAAATGTTATTTATTATCCTATAAATTTTAAGAAAAAATCAAAATCAATACTTTTTAATGTGACCTGTAGTAAGAAATAAACCCTATTTATCAACCTCAAAAATATACATACATAAAACTAACAGAAGGAAACAAGACATTTATTCTCAGAAATTCCAATACATTTTGAGATGGTTATTTTGTTAAATTTGTTTTAAGTGACGTGTGCAAGCATGCAAAAATGTCCAATAATAGTGAAATGAGCTAGTCGCAAATTTTAAAATTGCCCTGTAATTTAAGCTGGTGGTAAAAATGATTTTTGTTTCATTTTATGCTACATTATGTTTTTGTCTTTGTTTTGTTTTTTGAGACAATGTCTCTTCGTGTAACCCAGGCTAGTCTAGAACTCATTACATAGCCAGGCTGGCCTCAAACTTACAGTCCTCCTGCCTTGGTCTCTTGGGTGTCACGATCATAGGCATATACCATTATGTCCAGTTTCAGATTATTTTATTTTTGACATAAAATCCCTTATCAGTATATTA